ACAATCGCTCGCGCAACGAATGCTCGCACACAAATCCTCCCGGTGCGTACAGTGCCTTAGAAATGTCCGTTTATCAGAGCCAAAAGTTCATTCAACATTACATGTCACAACTTTCTACTAGTGTAAGTGTTATGTGCAGTTTTATGTGTGTTTGTATCGTTTACCTATATGTATTTTAGCCTAACTGACATATTGGCGTCGAGCCATCGCGTGCTCCAGACTATTATGTGAAGACCAAACGTGATCGCATACTGTTCCCCGCGCGATTATCTTGTTTCACTTGTCAACCTTATGAATGATTCACGAAATTAGATGCAACGCCAATTGAATTACAATGGAAAACTACAAAAAATATATCATGTCGAGATTATGTTTGTTTAAACAATAATCTGCCACCGGCAAATAGAAGGAGCTTGAACCGCCTGGAACTGACATTGTTATCACGCTTGTGTTAATAGATAAGAAGCAAATGCGCGCGCGCTGTCACGAGAAGCACGCGTGAGCCGGATTTGCACTGGACCCATTGGTTCGCCAAATATTTTCTGATTAGCGACTCCCGCTAATATTGGCTGATCGCTTATCTTTATCAGTTGGCCTTTCATACTTAGATGATATCCCCGAGAATCACAAGTGCTGGCCGTGAAACATTTTACACCGCCCGCGGCTCGCTTCAGCTGTAGCTGACGGGATAAACTCAAAACATGATATTTTTAGTCAGATGTTGACAACAAAATATTATCTCCGAGGGAGTCGATTGGGATTTACGTCATGGACGTTATCTCCTACGTTTGTGTTAAAGGTGATTGATTAACCTTGATCTTAACGCTTGCAGACACATTGTCAAAAATGAGGGACCGCGAGCGTTGTTCAAGGGCCTGGGCCCGAACATTGTGGGGGTGGCGCCCTCCAGGGCCATCTACTTCTGCACGTATTCACAGGCTAAGGCTATCCTGAATCAGAACATACCTCCAGACACACCTATAGTTCACCTATCCGCAGCTAGCGCTGCAGGTAAGATACTTGAATATTTCCCGAGTATTATGTAACTTGCAAGACAAGACAGTTACGTATAAAATAAAAAATATAATACCTTCATGTCTTTGTTTTACTCATTGAACCTTTACTTACTTTTAAGGTCGTTGACAGCGAAAACGAGATTGTAACCGTGTCATACATTTCAGGTTTCGTATCGTGCACAATGACCAACCCAATATGGTTCGTAAAGACTCGGCTCCAACTAGACGGGCAGAACGTTACGGCAGTGCAGTGTATCAAGAGGATATACGCTAGAACGGTAATTAATATAATGAATGACTGATACGATAATTATTAAATAAAAAGTCGTTGTCCGGTTATACAAAGTATTGTACAATACATTTCCGTTGTATGTTTTTATCGTCTTGTGTAGATTCTTTCACTAAACACTTCCCAATAATCACTTATTATTATTAATTAATTTTTAAAAATAAATCGTGTGGCCATGTTTACAATAAAAAATTCGAATATTTCTTGTAAGAATTATTGGAGTCTAAGATTTATGCCAACTATACAATATACCATACCACCCACGCCTTGAAGGATGAAATTGCGTGCCGTATCAACGTTTCTATAAATGGTTTATCGACAAATAGGATGTAAAACGAGTGAAGCGACAGTTACGCGGATCTACCTATATTATTATTGTAGAGTCGACATTGTTTACAAGAGCTACAAACTATTTGCAACCAAAATCAATCACTAATAAAGGCACACTTCCAAAACAGGGTATTCGGGGTTTCTACAAAGGCATAACAGCGTCTTACATGGGCATCAGCGAGACGGTGGTCCACTTCGTGTTGTACGAGGGTGTCAAGGCTCGGCTGATGGCCGCGCGTAACCGGGAGGGGATTCCCAGCGACCAGCGCTCGCCGCGGGATTTCCTGGAGTTCATGGGAGCAGGCGCCTTCTCGAAGACGGTCGCTTCGTGCATTGCTTATCCACATGGTGAGGATCTTGCATCATAATGTTTCACAGGACAATCAGCAAAATACTAATTCCAAAAATATTAAAATGTAGATGTCCAATGTCCATTTCCATGCTTCTACACGGCGCCAGCGATCGTCGCTTCGTGCATTGATTATCCACATGATAAGGATTCTTCATGATCACTCACAGAACTACGCCCACGACAAATTTTGTTGTCCATTTAGGCCTGAATATCTCGGAAACAGTCGCATCGTGCTTATTTTATTCTTCATTAATTAGTTTCACATAATTATAGATATTGATGTCACAACGTCCATTTGGACCAGAATATCTGAAAACGGTCGCATCTTCATTCTTATCGACATCTTAAAGTTTCTTCTTCATAATGGATACTATCCACATGTTGAGGATTCCCTTTCATGATCAGTTTCACAAATGAACAATCCGCTAAATCCAAAGTTTGTTAAAGTGCGATATGAATTTTTTCTTCGCTACATTTTACATGTTTTTTACACGCTTTTCAACAGAGACCGGATATTAGCTGTTGTAATGTTTCCGCATTTGCATACATAATTATTTATTATAATCACAAAAAGGACAAGACTTACGAAATGGAAAATGTTTTCATTTTGTGTGGTCGTACTGTCGCCACCAGTACCTATTTATATGCATGCCTAAATGATCAATAAGACGAGGGTAATACAAGTTTTGATGTCCGAACACAGGACCTATTCTTAACGCAATCGCCTCGCTTCAGGAAAAGCTCATCTTAATTTAATTTTCATTACAGAGGTAGCAAGAACAAGACTGAGAGAGGAAGGCGACAAGTACCGAAAGTTCTGGCAAACTTTGCACACGGTCTGGATGGAGGAGGGGTATCGCGGAGTTTATAGGTAAGATTTTGTTGCTATACCCCCACCACTAAGGCCCAGAACACACGGTGAAACGCAATTGCATCTAAGTTTCTGCCATAGATTCCGTTGAGAGATTACACATGACGCGACCATTTCAAACCGGTTTCAAACTGGCAGAAACTTAGATGCAACTCAAAAGTAAGTAGAAGTTGCAGTTTCGTTGCAATTGCGTTTCACCGTGTATTCTGAGCCTAACACGCATTTTAAAAATAATTTGTACACAATATTAACATTCGAATTACAGTAGTCTTTCGTCATTTATGTTACTCGGGCATTAAAAATTTAGATGACCCTAATCTCTTACTCTAGCAAACAGAAACCTATGTTAAGGATTGAAAGTCATTGACAAGTATACATTTCTTTACAGGGGCCTTGGCACACAACTGGTGCGTCAAATACCCAACACGGCGATCATGATGTCAACGTACGAAGCTGTTGTTTACCTCCTCACGACACACTTCAATAGTTCCTTCTATGAAAACACTTAGCAATTGAGAAAATTTAGAGCTACCAAGCAACTTCAACGATTATTAGTCTCCCATGCGGGATGAGCTGCATGTAGTTGATTTATAATTTGAAAATTACTAGACCTTGTCCAAGGAGACTGTAGATGTCAATATACTGCAGAGCTTTGCATTAGATTGGTAAATATAATTCAGCCGAATCTATTTTGTTTTTAGTTAAGGGTGTTATTAGTAAGTGTCATAAAGTAGTGAACCGTTCACTGTGCCACATAAGTGACTGATTTATGTAGATGTTGTTGATTAGTGTTGTACAGTAACTATAGAAGCTTGCTTACATTTGTTATTTTAATTCACTGTATATTTAAGTGAATTTTTGTTTATAACAGTTGTACTTATGACTAAGATCAAAAAATCATGATTGTATTGTTATTCGTAATGATAAAATATATTAATGAAAGCACTAAATTTTATATTGATTCTATAGGCAGCCAGCCTACCAAGTAAGGCTCAAGATAGATCACTCAGTTTGGTAATATAGCACAACAAAGCGATGTTTCCGTGTCAACGACACGCGTCCTAGGTTTTTCCATACATGACTTCATAATTTTTAATTTACAGCACAAAAATCTGACGCTAAATGAGTTGAACTACAGATTAAAGATGTAGCACATAACTGACTCAGCGCCTGAGGTAAGGGGGCGGCACGGGAGGGTGTTAACGTGACGTCAAACGTCAGAAAAACTTCAGTTATGCTTCAGTACCTCTAGCATGAACAACTATCGTCTTTGAATCATTTGCATATTCGACAAAATTCGATACTCAACTTTCAAACTAAACGATAACGTGACAATATTGACTCTCAAAATATGTTTCGTGCAACCATTTCTTATACTAAGTTCACTTTACAATACGTTCACAAGGGCGCTGTTATAGTTTTCGTACTAAATCTTTTGATGGCGATTCGAATACGCAAACGATTCGAACTCGAAAGTTGTTCGTGCTAGCCGTACTGACTTGTTCTGTCATGTCATATGTTACACGTCATTTCCTCCCAAACCTCAGGCACTGACCCAGTTATATGCTAGGCCTGTAGTAGAACACATGTCAAATATAGTGTCTTTCATTCATGCATCATCACATCAGTAAAATGATTAAACCTGATTAACTTGATAAAAATTTAGTCATACATAGTTCTAGTCTCAAGATTACTTCCCCAGTGACATTGAATTTATGTTCTTGTCAGTGATCAAACTAAGTTAACAAAACCATTTTTGCCTTTGGTAGCCAGTCTATATTTTGTATAACATGTTTATTCACTTACTTTATTTTGATATAAAATGGTTTGTGTAAATTCATTGATTTTTAACGTATGTAGTTTATTTGTGTTCAATCAGGGTTGTTCATAACTTGCATAAAATTTTTTTTTTCTACTTCCACAACTTGATTATTATAGAAAAGATCCTTAACATTATTATTATTATGTTAAACTCAAATCTTTTGTTAGCAATTAGACTAGTCAATAGCTGTGTAGAAGAATAATGATATTTGTCCAAAAATATGTAAGTCATTAAAAGTAAACAATTCTTATTGTCAGTTGAAAATTATAATTTGAATAATGTTTATCAAATTAAAAATTATGACAAAGAAACAGCTGTAGTCCAGAAATTATTATTATTACAAAACAATTATTATACTATTAATGTTTAAAAAGTGCAAGTTTGTAAATTCATATTTGACACAAATGAAAGGGCTTTAGCTCACAATGTAAATGGTAAGCTGTGATATAGAGCTTTTGTATATTTTAGTTTGAAGTTTATCCCTTACATTACGCACAGATAAAGCACAACTTAGGACATCCTGTCCCTCATATTCATATAGAAAGAAATCACATTAGTATAGTAATTTACTAAAGTCAATTCTGATCGAAATTGATTGTTTATGGTACTATATGAAGCTACCAAGATGTTAATTTTGTATGTTATATGTTCTTAATTTGTCAAAAATTGCAATTATATACAAACATGGTTATTGTGGGTAGGCAGATCTTTAAATATTATATAATTTTAGGGACAGAGTTGGACTGAATATAAAATTCTATGAAGTTCTTTAAATAAATGGTTAAAACAAAATCTGGCAGTTTTTAAATTTCTAAACCCTTATTTATGTACAAATAAATAATATTAAGCTAAACCTATCTCCATTATAATAAAACTATGAAATAATAGGTTTCAGCAGAGTTCTCAAAGATATATTGGACACTAATACCCATACATGTGTGGAAATTGAGTTGGGCATGTCACTTGGGTATCGTAACATGGTGGTAAATGGGAAAAGATTGGTTTTCAAAGCTACTATTGGTTCACGTCTGAACCAAATTACTGACACAATTGTTACTAAAGCTAAAACTACCTGTAGAATAATTTGGATTGAGCCCTTGATTGCAATACTCTTACTCATGCGAGACTGAGAATCTTCTTTGAGTTGTCCTTCTAATTTATTGATTTTGCGTTGAATCTTGGAATAAGCAGCAAATTCCTCCTTCATGGAGATAGTCTTTTGCTCAGCCTTTAGTTTAACAACTTCTGCCCATATTGTTCTCTCCTCATTGGAAGGTCTGCTAAAACAAGCTGCAATCTGAAGATAATGATTTCATATTATTATTTGATCGTACATTGTGAAGATAATATTAGTAGGATATTGTAACAGATAACTTACTGGCTTCACTAAATAGGGGACAAAAACATTGAAGACACATAAGACAATGAAGTAAATCATAAGAAATCCATTTATAACCTCCAACATTATGACTTCAAAGTATGATAGGTGTACCTATATAGTTTATTACTGGAAAACTTAAAGAGCGATGAATAATGAATGGCAACCTCGATCAATTTGTATTTTGTTCAAAATAGGAAATAAGTTTTATCTGGTTTTAACCTACATCAACATACAAACTAGAAAATGTCAATCAATGTCAATCTGTCTCATCTGTGATGTCAATTGTCTGTCAGTCAATGTCAAATTTATGCTGAAAAAAAGTAGTGTGGTGACAATACCGATTCACTTTAATGCAATGCATATAGTTACGTTTTTATAAACTTTTTCAGTTCAATATGTAAAAGTTACTAATAATAAAAGAACACGCCTTTGATTTTGACATTGACAGTCGCAGTTGGGTAAAAAAGTTAGGTTATTTCTCCTTTGCTTTTGCTTTTAATTGAATTTTGTAAATGAAAGTGCAATAAAATGGATAATATTGTGTTTCTAGAAACGTATACAAGTTATGATGAGTTTATTCAATCACATAAATTAGCTATTCCACTACAATCTTTCATAACCTACTGTTTATTTAAATATTGTGCGCCAGCCGAAGTTAAATTGGAATTTATATCCTGTCCGCAGTCTAAATCAGAGGAGGCTGTGTATCTTAATAATTATGACGATACATTAGTGTTCGCCGATTTGTTGAATGTACCATGGCAAGTCACATCATGTGTTTATCCGGTAGTAATGTGTGAAGATACAATCATAACTGGTCTGTGTGCAGTCGCCAGACACATCACAAAATACAGATCTCGACCTCAGAGTCCGAAAGAACACGAAGAGGGCCTGTTAGGATTCCGCAAGGGTTGCTTGCAGGTGCCCAATGAAGCCTCTGTTTGGACTAAATTCTGTGAAGTTGATATAATCAAAACGGCTAAAGAAATCCTTGCTGCTGTAAATAATAAAACCAATAATGACTTAACAGAAAAGCTCTATGAGGTTTCAAAACCTTTGGTATGCTTTGAGAGCCATTTGAGTAAACCAGTTAGAGTTCACAATGTTTATAAAATGGCAAGAGACATAAATAAAAACAAAAAAAATATTGAAACCAAAGTTGAGGTAGCTGACAGCCTAAGCAGTCTGGAAAAGAAGGAAACTAGTAGAGCCGCTAAACCAAGGAAATGGAAATCTAATACAAAAAAAGAGCTTCAAATAGAAAGTTCTGTGAAAATTGAAGATTTAGGTATCAGTCACCAATTTGCTGAAGGTCCATTTTTTACCCTTGCTGATATGGTACTGCTGCCATCATATCACATCATCATGCAAGCTCTTGGGCAAGATGTCTTTAAATCACATTTACCATTAACATTTAAATGGTTTACAAATCTACTGGAGCAGCCTGAGATACAAATTATTAGAGATTTAATGAACATGGTAGAAAGTAAGGTTTTGTTTATTGAGAATATATTTGTGCCAGAGATGCAAGGAGTGAGCCTTTACAAGAGAGATCCATCTCGACACAACCCCAAAAAGAGATTATTTACCAAAGAACATGATATAGAAAATGCCCTTAGCGCATTAGTGGAAGGAATGGAATTAAATATCACAGCCAATAACTTTGATTCAGAAGTCAACTGGAATGATATTCCAGATGGTGCAAATCCTACAGCTGGACATTTACCTGATGCAAGAATCATTAGAAAATCTCAACAACTAGAGAATCTCACTTTACCTGTGCTAGACATAGCCAAAGATGGTGACATAATTGTAGACTTCTGCAGTGGCAGCGGTCACCTGGGCATCCTTATAGCTTACTTGTTGCCTAAATGCACCATTATATTGTTAGAAAATAAAGAACAATCCCTTTTGAGAGCAAGAAAAAGAGTACATGAAATGAAATTAAAGAATGTTTTCTTCTTTCAATGTAACCTGGACTTTTTCAATGGGAAGTTTGACATTGGAATTGCATTGCACGCTTGTGGTATTGCAACTGATCTAGTATTGGACAAATGTTTGAAGGCCAATGCCAAATTTGTCCTTTGTCCATGTTGTTATGGCTCCCTACACTCTACTGACAGGTTGGCTTATCCTAGAAGCAATAATTTCAGCAATGTAAACATTGACCAGTACCTGTGCATAGGTCATGCAGCAGACCAGACTCATGAAGAGCATCCTTTAATGGTGAGAGGCTCTCGCTGCATGGCGATAATAGATTCAGACCGAGCCCGCCTAGCTGAAGAATTTGGATATAAAGTCACATTATCAAGATTAAAGCCACTAACATGTACACCTAAGAATAACTTACTTATTGGAATACCAGCATAAATAAAGATAATCTTAAAATAAACAATTTTATTTGGAAAATATAAGTTCTTACTAAAATAAGTCTTTCATTTTTATAACAAATGAATTAAATCTATAATATAAAAAAAAATGAATTTCAGTGATATCACTGACTCAATAACAATTTGAGACTAGTAACTAGTTTATTACACATACCTAAGCTATGAAGCATATATGCTAAGATTTGAAGCCCTTTTATTGTCCTAAAAGAACCAAAACTTGTATAATAAAATCAACATTATCAGAAATAAAATTAATTAAAAACTTAGTAATATTTAATCACTTCGGGCATACACTATTGCAGTACGGGTAGGGATGTAAACCTGCAAGCAAACAGAATAAAAGTTCAGTAGAATTATGGTAAATTTTGAAATTTAAAAATCTCAGTTCAAAAATTAGTTCGTTCGTTCGTTCGTTCGTTTCAGCCAAATGACGTCCACTGCTGGACAAAGGCCTCCTCCAAGGTTTTCAAAAATTAGTAGGTAATTAAAATATATTTACCTGTATAGAATCATTTCGATTGGCCCAAGGTGTGCCTTGCGTCAAATGGGAGTCACCATCAGTTTCTACACGGCCGAAACCTCCGTATTTCTTACTGTCGGAGCAAAGTACAGCCTGAAATGGAGAAAACATCCGTTATTTAAGTTCATAGATGGTGGTTTATAGAATTACTTAGGTGCTTTACTTTTTGCCTTAAATACCTTATAATTGCCCGATTGATTGACGCCGATCCTGTAGTCCGTGAAGCTCTGGTAGGCGTTGAAGTTGAACACGAACAGCAGGCCAGCCCGCTCGAACGCGATCACCTTGTCGCCCTCGTGCTTGCAAGATACGTAGGCCTGAAAACGGTATAATCGTTAGATTATTATAATCACGATTAGCTTTTCTATGGGTCGGGTATATTTCCCACCCATGCATTTAATTAATTACAAGTGACGTAGTTGTCCGCCATATTTGATTTAGGTAATTGCTAAAACAACAGACGTTACGAACTTACGACAGTATAATTTTGTCCTACCCACATAAAATATTATAGACTATGCATCTGTCCCAATCCAGGCGTCAGCCTCATGTGACTCTTTAACACTATGTCTTAATGTGTTCGAAAACCACCCAAATGAAATTTTCATTAAGATCCATCGAATATTTTTTGCGTGAAGAAGCACCATCGTCTCAAAACTCTCAAACTGGCGTTTATGTGGTTTAGCTATGTACTCACAGGGTCGGAGGCGAGCCAACGGTACTTCTCATCTAGCTCGTTCATGTCGCGGTCGAACTGGTTGAGGAACTTGTACTTGAGCAGGTCGTCGTCCACCAGCTGCCACTGGCGGCGCGCGTAGTGGTACGACGAGTTGTTGCCCGCGCGCGGGAAGTCCAGCCACTCGGGGTGACCGAACTCGTTGCCTGTGGAGAAACAGAAGAAGATAAGTTTACTTAAGATATTTTACGAGTTATTAGGTACCTATATAAGTATGTCTGTTACAAAATATACTTTTCTATTGAAGACCTCGCTTGAGAGAAAACATGTAAGTAGTAATCTTACGAATATTAAATAAACCTTCAAACTTTAAGAAGAGTTGCACTTGCGATAATTCGTTTTTGTTAAATTGAAGTCATTACTGACTTGAACGTTACAGTGCGCAGTGCACTTAAACTTGACTTGAACTACGACCTGCTCAAGAACTGTTCAAGTTTGAGACCATACTTCAGCGTCTCATCTGGCTAATCTGGCTTCCTTCGTCCGGTCGTGCCATGCTTAGAAAATGTCCTTCACCCATCTATTCTTCGCCTTCCTTCCCTATTTTCTTGCTCCCATCTTCCTCCTGCAATGGTAGCTAACTCACCTATGAAGTTGAGATAGGCCGCACATCACACATCGCTGGTTCCATCAGCCAGAAGGTGACGTCTAGTTCCCTCCTGCATGGTAGCCACTGACCTATGAAGTTGAGGTATGCCTCGCCTCCCAGCGCGTGCGTGATGAGCCGGATCATGCAGTGCAGCGCGAGGCCGCGCTCGATGACGGCGCTGGGCTCGCTCAGGGTGCTCATGTGCGTATACATTGCCGCATCCATCAGCCAGAAGGCGACCGTCTAAAGTCCGGTCGCCAAGTAAATAGGATTTCGTCCAATGACCCCAAACTACCCATCCTTATCACTCGCACGCGACTGTGCGACAGGCGGCCGCAGTGAGTGTGCGAGCGCGACTGCATTATTACACGTGAGCGATAAGGATGGGTAGCTTGGGGTCATTGAACGAAATTATATCTGCTCGGCGACCGAACTTAGTCCCCTCCTGCATGGTAGTCACTGACCTATGAAGTTGAGGTATGCCTCGCCTCCCAGCGCGTGCGTGATGAGCCGGATCATGCAGTGCAGCGCGAGGCCGCGCTCGATGACGGCGCTGGGCTCGCTCAGGGTGCTCATGTGCGTGTACATCGCCCGTCCATCAGCCAGAAGGCGACCGTCTAAAGTCCGGTCGCCAAGTAAATAGGATTTCGTCCAATGACCCCAAGCTACCCATCCTTATCACTCGCACGCGACTGTGCGACGGGCGGCCGCAGTGAGTGTGCGAGCGCTACAGCATTATTACACGTGAGCGATAAGGATGGGTAGCTTGGGGTCATTGGACGAAATTCTATCTGCTCGGCGACCGGACTTAGTCCCCTCCTGCATGGTAGCCACTGACCTATGAAGTTGAGGTATGCCTCGCCTCCCAGCGCGTGCGTGATGAGCCGGATCATGCAGTGCAGCGCGAGGCCGCGCTCGATGACGGCGCTGGGCTCGCTCAGGGTGCTCATGTGCGTGTACATCGCCCGTCCATCAGCCAGAAGGCGACCATCTAAAGTCCGGTCGCCAAGTAAATAGGATTTCGTCCAATGACCCCAAGCTACCCATCCTTATCACCCGCACGCGACTGTGCGACGGGCGGCCGCAGTGAGTGTGCGAGCGCGACAGCATTATTACACGTGAGCGATAAGGATGGGTAGCTTGGGGTCATTGAACGAAATTCTATCTGCTCGGCGACCGGACTTAGTGCCCTCCTGCATGGTAGCCACTGACCTATGAAGTTGAGGTACGCCTCGCCTCCCAGCGCGTGCGTGATGAGGCGGATCATGCAGTGCAGCGCGAGGCCGCGCTCGATGACGGCGCTGGGCTCGCTTAAGGTGCTCATGTGCGTATACATTGCCGCGTCCATCAGCCAGAAGGCGATCGTCTTGTCGCCTACTAGCGCCTGGAGAATTTGTTTTTGATTAAAACATGGTCCAATGAGGGCTATCGTTTTTATACTTAACAGTTGGCACCCCTGGCGATTGACAGGACCTTACTCTACAGTGGCGACATCTTGATGAGTGCAAATGCGATAGTCCTCCTACCTCTTTAGCACTCACCAGATGGTGCCACTGTCTTCGCTACTAGCAAGTGACAGGACCTTACTCTACAGTGGCGCAAACTGGTGAGCGCTAAAACGATAGCCCTCATTACTTAGATAACAAAAGAAGACAGTATTTTGAGGGTTTATGTCGACCACTGCACCACTAAACCGAATGTTTTAGCGTAATGTGAAAAATTTTCGTTCGCTATCTTTTCAGGCTGAGACGCACCCGCCACTATAACTAATAGTTTAGGCTTGTCTTTTCGTAATTACGAAAAGACACAGTCTGTGCAAATTATCAGGTCGTGTCGTGTGTAATAAAAGAATGACCGCAAAGAGCTGCGATTAAATGTTTCGCCAAATCAACAAAGTGTGCTCAAAGCATAATCGTCTGATGCCTAGCTACAGCAAATTTAATTCCTTTGTTAATTTTGTCCCTATCTAAAAAAAACATTAAAGTAGTAAGTAAAGCCTTAAATGGTACACCCACTAAAGCTTCAAGTTCAACCACAACAACGGCAAATCGCGCTGGCGATGGCGATCTGAACGCGTTGGTGTAGTTGAAGCATAAGTTAAATAACTCTTTCCCACCTGATCGTGGCTCTCAGCATAAGCCACGGTCCCCTCCATCCAGCGTCGATTCGTGAGCGTGTGCACGATGTGGCCCATTTTCCAATCCTCGTCGCGCTCCTCCTTCAGCAGCTTGATCCACATGTCGGGGATGGCCATGCCCAGCCGGTAGTCGAACCCGGTGCCACCCTCTGTCACTGGTCTGCAGGACCCGGGCATGCCGGATACGTCCTAGAATGCAATTAGCATTTACAGCTAGTGTCATCCACGAACGTGCCCCACGATTTCGTCCTACAATAATTTCGCCACTGACGCTGTGACGCTTGGATCAAACTCCCCGCACCCGGCGCTTCTCTCAACTAAATATTGGTGGGGAGCGTCTCCGAATGTGATATGATGTCTACACTAGCTAGATGATGTCCAAAATGTGGAGGTGTTTTTTGTGTGACTCCTATTATACTCTTCTGGCGATGAATTTGGAATAGCACCATGGCTAGCGCAGTATTTTACGTATTCTTCTTTCATTAGATCCTCCAGAAAGACCTCCCAGAGAGAAAAAAATAAATTACATGGAAATGATGGATGTAAAAAAATCAACAAAAAAATTTGGCTTTTAAACAGTTGGTGATGGTCGCGGGAAGTAGCTGGATGCGAGCAGCACAGGACCGGTCGTTACGGAAATCCTTGGAGGAGGCCTTTGTCCAGCAGTGGACGTCATTTGGCTGAAACGAACGAACTACTTAAATGAAGTGCCTCATACCTCAGCAATGGTGATGGCCCTGTTGTCAGTTTTGTGCACGAGCATGTTGGCGAGCATGAGGTAGATGAGCGCTTCGGTGTCGACGTTGAGCCCGAAGTACTCGTCGTAGTGCCCCGAGAAGCCCTCGCCGATGCCGCGGCTGTGGTACAGCATTGACGTCACGCCGTCGAACCTGGAGATAAGGATTTCCCAGTTTTATTTCAAAGGAAAGCGATAATCGTATACTTAAAGAGAAGCCACACGGTGCTGTGCGGCGCCGTACCACAAACATTTTGCCGCATCACTGTACACATGGTGGTATGCGGCGCCGCAATACGGCACCGTCTCGCTCAATCGAAGTGCGGTGTGCCTGCGGTGCGGCGCCGGAACGCACTGTCTGGCATAAATCATTGATTTTTATATGCAGGACGCGCCGCAGCGGCACCGCCCCGGCGCCGCGCCGCGACCGCACCGCACCGTGTGGCTTCTCTCTGAGTTATGTAGTGTCGTCCGTATAATTACAGTCCGATGCAAACTTTATAGCGGCTCGGAACATCGCATGAGTCGCTGCGCAGTAGGTATTTTACACAATATTAGACCTGCACTCGCAGCTATATCCGAGGACTACTGTAATTGCTTAATTCTTTAGGTATTTCTTACCTGAATCCATCAAACTGGTACTCTTCTTGATACCACCGGAGATTGGATAACAAAAATCTGAGGACTTCAGTTCTGAAACAAAGACAAAAGGTACATTTACTTAGTTCATGCAGAGAACTTATTTTTTCCTTCTAAAATGAATGTCGACATGTTAATCGATTTTATTTAGTTCAGAAAACTCTTCTCTCACTCATTTAGCATGCTAACGAATGTGCAATTTATGTGTGAATTTATCGACTTGAGAACTTTGAAAAGACATTGTTTATACTTGAGATCCCTTAAAACTCACTCTGAGTAGTTGAACAGCCTGCTGTCCCAAAGCGAGTGCGTGCCGCGCGGCCCATCGTGGAAGTAGCACGAGTTGGTTCCGTCGAACTCGTTAAGCCCGTCCAGGGTGTTCTTGGAGGCGTGAGAATGGACCACGTCTAGAAGCACGTAGAGCCCGAGCTCGTGCGCCCTGTCGATCAGCTGCTTCAGCTCGCAAGGGGTGCCGTAGCGACTAGAACACAAGTAATGTCATCGTTCGTTAGTCGAGAATTCGAGATTGAACAATATGCAGGTAACATTTAAATCTTAAAACTTAGGCTAAGGCTTCAACCACACCAACGCGTGCATATCGCCATCGCCGGCACGATCATAGGCCAATGACATGAAGAAGAATCTTAATAAATGGAAGTTTTTAAAGAAGGCGTTTTACTACAGCCTCAACCACATTGTCCAACACCTGTCATTGGTCGCGCGACCTGTCATTGGCCTATGATCGTGCCGGCGATGGCGATCTGTAAGTAGTAGAAATAAACTATGTAGAAACTTATAATGAAAGGAGCAAGCCGGAAGACGTAGTGTGAGCAGGACTCCAATTAATTGGACCGAGCGACGGTCTAATGAAGGTCGCGGGAAGTGCCTGGATGCGAACAGCGTAGGACTGGTTGTTACAGAAATCCTTGAGGGAGGCCTTTGTCCAACAGTGGACGTCATATTCGGCTGAAACGAACGAATGAAAGTAGGTAAGGTACATACCTGCTAGCCGCAAAGAAACTTGTGACTTGGTATCCGAATGACGCGTAATACGCGTGTTCCATGATGGCCATGAGCTGGATAGCATTGTATCCTGAAAGATATGAGAAATTTAATCATTTTCTGCTATTATCAAAACAGAAAAAAACACAGCTTTCAAATAAGTCTGGGTGTTGTACCTTGTTTCTTTATCCTGGGTAGAATGTTGTCTTTGAATTCAGTGTAGGTGCCAACTCTGCCTTCAGAAGTGGCGATACCAACGTGGCATTCGTAAATCCTGAGTGACGCTGGCTTATCCACCTTCTGGTGTTTGAATTGGTATGGCTAAAAGTTTTAAAATTAAGTTAGAAAAGAAAATTGATTCAAAACTGTCGATATTAAATACGTAGCAGGTGAGCAGGTGTTTGTTACCCATACTCCTACTTTAATTAAGTTAAAATATCAATATAAGATTGTTGACCAATAAGTAAACTACTAAACTGGATAAGTAATTAGGTACGTGTTATCGATTTATGGTCTTAAGTAGGTTATCGTTCTGAATATGGTTTCTATGCAGTGTACAAAACAACAATAGCAGACAGGTTATCAGTAAGTAAACCTAATCTATTAATACCTGCTCTGGCTTGTAAATGAAATGCTGATACGTGAATCCCTCGAACGGCTTCACGTAGCTGGCCCAGGGAGAGATCCTGTAGAGGTGGTCATTCACGATGATCTGGACTCGGCTGTCGTGCTTGAAGGCGCAGGAGCCGTCAGGATTGGCGGGAATGTGCAACTCCCATTTGCCGAATTCCAGCTTCTTGAATGGATGGCTCTTTGAGTTCCAGCCGTCTGGAAAATATTAGAATGAATAAGTAATAAAATTATTTGCATTGCATTGGTGCTAAAGGTAAAAAATAAAAAATGTGGTAGATAGAATCTCTAACTAGTATCTCTTAACAAGTAAAGGTAGGTACTCTGGTACTTTACTACTTTGTGGTATCTTTTGGTTTGATTAAGATAGAAAATAATGACCGTAACCTGTAACCCGTGCATATAATAAGTACGGCGTCAACAACATTAGTGTTATCGCTTACATAACTAATATTTTCAAGGACTTGCAATATCTTATCTATCAACATTATCTACTGGCGAAAAACTTTAAACTTGTAAGTAAGTACGTTTACTAAATAAATAAATTACATGTAATATCGAACCCGCGACTTGGTTTAGGTTCGGTACGCAAACTACTGGGCTATGCGGCCGTCTGCGTGTGAATAAATGGTTGATAATGTTAATGATGAATTAATTTTGTGTCTTTAATATCTCTTTACTATCTCAATACCAAACAAACAAAATGGCAGGTAAAGTTGGTATTTGCATTCGATCGCCGCGACATACAACCGTGTTTACTTTATGTATGTTGATGGTACAAGTTTAGCTGAAACCCGCGGGCCCATGTGTCGCCCACGAGTTCGCCACGCATTGAATGAATGCACACGGTATTTTGGGCCTACATTACATTCTTTTGAATAGTTTTATGTCCGATCGGTTAAAATAAAAGTAGGTACCCACATACAGTAACAGGCATTTTGATTTTCACTCTGAATTGCAGTTTTTACTTAGCTGAATAAACATTAAATCTTGTAAGTACCTATGCATTTCGTAACGAAATCATTCGTTATCAAAAATTTCATCTCAATGACGGATGCTGGTTTTATAATGGTGTTTTTGTAACCTTTTCTGCTAAATGCTAAATTTAAATCCGTTGCCGAAAATATTTTAATCTCCCCGTTTCCCCGTTTTACTCGACTCTGGCACGGCACATACTGCCGCGGATTGCCATTAAAAAAAAAAAAAAAGACAGAGTGGTAGCCAACTCTACCACTCTAGTGATTCTAATAAAGAGTAATTTCCCCATCTGTTGTGTTGAGACTTGAGACTTACTGAATTCTCCCTGCAGATGCATGGTGTGGGCACCCGGCGCCCATTCTCTCCATGTTACTGATCCGTCTGCGTGGAACTGTGGCCCGAAGTACTTGTACCCTCGGGTGAAGCCCTCCACGCCTCCCTCCCAAGACTCGATGCGTTCCCAGAGGTCCTTGTAGCACGCATATCTGGTAGGTATAAGTTGGGAGAGTAATGAAATGATAAAGCAAGGTAAGCTTTAAAGCTTTCTCTTAACTACGACCTAACTTATAAAGTAAGGTGTTTTATTTGATAGCTCGAACTCGAAACGGAGTTTAGTAATTAAGAATTCTCATCTTAATTAACTGCATAAGCCAATCCTACTCGTTATATATCCTACTCGTTATATTTTGTGTCCTAAGTTTGTGTCGTTTACCTATTATAAAAGTATCTAAGTATTGTAAGTTCATAAGGAAGGTAAAGGTAGGTAATAAATACCTATAGTACCTACCTACCTACATATAATACCTACAAATAAACTCGTAGCTACTGTTTGTAGACAACAAAATATTCTGGTGTCTCAACAGTTTACCTACAGCAAGCTAATATAAACAATTTTTGATATTACGACTTAACGTGCATGTTCTTTTTAATCAATACTTAGGCCTAGGTTGTTAGTTTGTTACCGAACATAGGATTATTATTTTCGAGCTTCTCTTTCATATCAATGAATGACCTTTCGTTTGACATTGTAAGCAACATGCACGGCAATAAAGCGCTTACCTACAACTTTGCTTATTGTATTGACAAAGATATTTTTCTAATGAAATTCCTACATTTTACATTTATTTATGACATGAAAAATAAAGATTTGGGCACCAAATAACAAAATTATTAAGATTAACTCAGCTTTTCATTAAAGTTTCGTTTTTAATTTGGCATAACGTAGTAAGAAGTGTGAAATACTGCAATACTGTGAAACAGCGCTCCGTGAATGATTAAAGCGCTTTTTTGCTTAGTTGGTAGCGACTAGTAAACACAGCTGAGTTAACCTCAAAAGAAGTAAAAGAACACTTTTAAATAAACTTTATAAACACACGTAATTTTCATACACGAATATAGTTATGATAGTTAAGACTTACCTGCGACGAATTTCCCGTTCGTACGGCTTCAAATAACCATCTCTTTCGAATAATTTCGTTAGGTCCGGGACAGGAACTTCCATCGGATCCATCGCGGAATAGTTACCACCCATTATAAATATGTATGTAGATATCAAACCGGCTCGAACTGCGCACGCGCCTCACAACCGCGCGAATTGGTATCTTTAGTTTAAATGATACTGGAGCGATGATTATTTTCTGAACTCCAGACTGCTTCATCTGATAAACTTTGGGGTCAACGTTGTCTCCGTGCCTGTTAAACAACACATGCACATAATATTCGATGTCATTATAGCCACTTCGCATTGATATTTATTATAAAATACCCTCACTCTTCTAAAAATAGTTTTAAAATTTAATCTTGGTGCCATAGATTTAATCTAAGCTTGGTGCCTAGTCTAGTTTGTGTGTCATTCATAAATAACATGGTACCGTGAGCACGAATAACTTTCGTAATCCTATTCTTTACACAAACCGTAGCGGTTTTGTTTAAATAAAACGACTACCATACCATACATAGCGAGAACTAATTTATTCGTGCTCCGGGTACAGTTTAGTACCTACATTCATTCGTAATAAGATAACTTTTCGAGTGTACTTGTAACATTTTGTTAGGGTCGCTGATTTTGTATAAGGCCGTGTTGGAGTGGTCAGTCAGGGCGCGCTTTTCTGGCTAGTTTTCATTGACGAGGCGGTAGCGGTAGCCGTAGCACAGAATAGATCATGTGCCAGTATTAAGTGTTATACTCGTATGTATATGTGCCCTGGAACGGGCGTATGTACTGAATAAAATACTTGAATTTGAATCCTAACCACGCCACGTGTGGCCTAGCCGGTCGCGACCGGCGGTAACTGCGCCATTACGATTTGATACAATACAGTGTGAGTCACGTTAAAGTGTACATATGAAAATAGATGAAACTAGACCTATTTTTATCGACAAAAAAGAGGTCAAAAATTTTTTGAGATTTTTTTTAATTTTTTTATAGAATTTTTTTTCTTCCATATACTTATTGTAAAGAAAACGTAATAACTTTTAAACTAAGCGGTATAATATCCTGATAAAATAAAAACAGTAATAATGCTAAATAACAGGCGATACTGAAAAAATACATAAAATACCCAGAAAATGCCAACAAATAATAAAAAATGATACTTATTGAAAAAAATCTGTTTAAAAATTCGTATTTTTTTGGTTATTTGATAAATTTCTCAAAAAAATGCCCCTATAACAGGTGGTTTTTATTACTTTGTATTATTCTCTATCGTATTATCTTTGTAAAACCAAAAATCGCATGTCTCTATCCCTATCACAATATTTGCTATGATCGTTTGAACAAAGGCTTGCCACCACATTATTCTCCGCTACAGGTAAAGACAATTTTAATTTTAACTAAAATGCTTATTTTACTTCGAAATCTTTTGTTTTTATTTGAAATCTAACTTGTCTTTATCAAAATTACAAATCTAGAGCCATTTTCAGTTTCGTTGTTAACGAAGCGTTGAATAACGCGCCCGGAGAGGCTTAGTTCAAACGATCATTGCAAACGTTGTGATAGGGATAGAGACATGCGATTTTTGGTTTTACGAAGGTAATACGACAGAGAATAATACAAAGTAATAAAAACCACCGGTTATAGGGGCATTTTTTGTAGAAATTTATCAAATAACCAAAAAAACACGAATTTAAAAGCAGATTTTTTTCAAAAAGTATCGTTTTTTATTATTTGTTGGCCTTTTTTGTGTATTTTATGTATTTTTTTAGTATTGCCTGTTATTTAGCATTATTACTGTTTTTATTTTATCAGGACATACCGCTTAGTTCAAATGTTATTACGTTTTCTTTACAAAAAGTAATTTGAAGAAAAAAAATTCTATAAAAAATTTAAAAAAAATCTAAAAAAAAAATTGACCTCTTTTTTGTCGATAAAAATAGGTCTAGTTTCATCTATTTTCATATGTACACTTTAACGTGACTCACACTGTATAAATGTAATGTAAGTTTGTAATGTAACTGGGTGGTGCCGGCTTTATTAATCTAAGGTGGTACCTATTACTAACTACGCGATTATCGCTGTTTGAAACATGCCTTACGAATCGAGTTTTCACTTTCAGAACCTAGGTTCAACAACATAGGTACTTTTGTAGTTGATGGATGTGTCTGAAAAATATCACGCACGACTTAGACATGATCAAATCATTCGGCTCAATGTAAAATAAAATAAAAATGATAAGGAACCTATTTATTATGAACGTATAACTTCGTCGCGTGGTATAAAGTTGTAAACATGTGTGATTAAGGGTACTGATAAAAAGTTGGAGTAGCTACCAACCAACGCGAACGCTGCACGCTGTATCTACGAGTTCCATAAACGCACCGTTTAAAAACTTTTCGCTCGGTCGGACCACTTTCAGCTTACCAGATATTATACATAGTTATATCATGCTGAGTCAGTGCCAGGGTAAATCAATATTTGAATACATATACAGCGAGGGCTCCACGCATATGAGCGACCATCCAAAGCCAGTGCGGCAGCCGTGCCGCCGCGCTACTGATGACCCGTTTGCACGGAGCCTTACGCTGATACGTAAATGTGATCATTTATTTGGTATTCCACAATATTAAACCTATGCGTTTTTAATGCAACCCTTGCTGTCTGACGCCATTTAGACATTACTACCTATTTTCACGCTCTATCCTAAGGTCAATATAGGGCAGAGGGCTTGATGCTAAGTGCCTGTGTGTGGTTTGATTGAAGTGCCTGATGGCAAAGGGTTTCAGATTCAATTTGGGTATTATTTATTATTTTTTTTTTTATTAGGCTAATAAGTATAAGTATTAAGAATGTTAATACAATACCTATTAGTGGGTTAAGAGCCTAAACTGATTTATATTTTAAGAAAAAGTTACAAATTAGGCAGGTGTATTAAATAAAAAACATTATTTGTAATTTACCTAACATTTTAATTATTTACAGCTATATTACTACATAAACAACAAATTATTCAAAGTAAGTCAGAGCCTGTTCTTCTGGCAGCAGCCACAGCCTCTTCCGGTTGCAATTTTTCTTCTTTTGATGGTTCTAACGGGTTTCCTTCTACATCCAACTTTCCTTCTTTGTAATCAGTGACTATCTTTTTGCTATAGACTGCGTCGAACAACTGTTGTGCTGTGAATTCACTCTGTATAACATCAGCAGCTCTATACGAGACATAGGGCTTTAGGTCACAGTTTTTCAGGTCAGGTACAATCAATTCTGGTATCATTTCAGGAACATTCACAAATCGCCCATTGAGCCTGTAACCTGTTTCACGCACACCTCTCCTGTCCACTGGCAGTTCAGGATTTTCACCCATTTGCTGTTTTTTGTGTATGCGAGAACCCCTTTTATTAGGAATTACAAATTTCCTAAAATTCCTCTTACCTTCTCTAGGTGCTGACAAGGAGATAGTTCTTTTAGAAAAGAAGTTGATCAAATTAGAAATTTTGGACATTTTGCTCAGTTTATCTTTGCCAAAAGAACCAAAATACTGCAAAAAGCCAAATTATTTTGATTTCATAAATTTTTTAGGTTAGTTGTCACTTTGGCATTTTTTTTTTTTTTTTTTTCCCTATGATGGCATGCACGGCTTGTGCGTCAGCCACGACGAAGTAAGGTAAAGGTTGGGAAACGTATAGGAAAGTAAAAATGGAAAACGGAAAAAAGAAGGTTTCAAAGGATCAGGAAAGTAAAGGAGAGAACAAAATGATAAATAATCTGGAAAAATAAAAATTAAATTACATAACAAATTAAATTTTAATGTTATTATTATTCATATATACAGATAGGGTATTATAAATATCAATATTATCATGCATGTTTAAGAGGCAGGCTATGGAAGTAGGAAATGGTACTTTTAAAGATATAAGGGATTCGAGGAAAGAGGATCGGTCATGTAATGGACAAGTGAAAAACAGATGATTTAAATCACCTGTGCCAGTGCCACACTCACACAAATCAGAATTCACGATTTTAAGTCTAAAAAGATGCGTAGGTATACAAGCATGGCCAATTCTCATACGGATAATATTAGAGGTAGAAACCTTTCCCAGTTTCATTTTAAAAAACCATGGTTTTATAGGAATGGTAGGTTGAATGAACTTATACCATTTTCCTTTGGTTGCACTACTGTGCGCCCAATCCAATTCCCATGATTCACGCAAGTAGGACTTAGGGAGGGACAAAAGGTCATGGCAATAATTTTTATAACTGATCATATCACCATTCACAACAGCTTCATTCGCAAATTTATCTGCTTTTTCGTTACCGAAAATATGGCTATGACTCGGAATCCAGGCGAAGATAATTTTGAACCCCAAAGTAGAACATTTATGAAGCAATTCCCTGCATTGGATTACGATTGGATATTGAGTATTGCATTTAAAGGGAAATTTTTCTAAGGCTTGTAAAGCGCTCTTAGAATCTACAAAAATTACTGTTTTTTTCAGTTTCATAATTTGGACATATTCTATGGCTTTATAAATTCCACAGCACTCCCCGGTAAAAACTGATGTTTCAGGAGGTAATCTGACCTTTTCATGAATACCATACTGATGATGGAAAAGCCCTACTCCGACCACACCATCGTTGGAGTGTTTGGATGCATCGCTATAAATATGATGCCAATCGGCCCAATTATCCTCAATAATTAAGTTAAATTTATATTTAGCGTCAAGTGAATTTTTTGGGATATCTAAATCATATATTATTTCAGGAGAAAGAACTAACGACTCAAAACTAGCAGAAAATATGGGAAATTTTGGAGTTCTGTGAGTTGGAGCTTGAAAAGATATAAATTTACGGTAACTTAAAACTAGACAGGGAAGGTTTTTATGAGCCCAGTAAGGAGATGTCCCAATAGAATCAGATAAAAGTTGTAATTTTAAGAATAGGGGGTGATTTGAATATTGTAAAACTCTAAATACAAATTTGTCAGATAAGAATTGACGGCGCAATCTAAGAGGAGGATCAGTGCATTCAACCTGTAAAGAATTAATAGGGCTAGATTTCATTGTACCAGAAATAATACGAAGAGCCTTTGATTGGATGCTGTCCATTTTTTTCAGACCGACTAGATTGCAAGGTTCTAAGAAGTAAGCTCCATAATCAAGAACACTACGTATTATGGCGTTATAGAGAAGTTTTAGGGAGGAAGGGTGAGCACCCCACCAGACCCCTGAGAGGCAGCGCAAAATATTTAATAGACGCTCACATTTGGCCGTGACATAATAACAATGAGGAACCCCTGATAGTTTGTCATCTAATATTATACCTAAAAACTTTGCCTCCTTACAAGCTTGGATAGTGATATTATCATAGTAAACAAAAATAGGAGGTGGCATCCGCATTCTACTAAAAAGTACCACAGAACTTTTGGGGACCGACAATGAAAGACAGTTATTATCTAACCAGTTTTTAAGGGAACCTAAAGCTGAAGTTAAGCAATTACATAATTCGCTTACTGAATAACCAGAAACATACAAAAGAAGGTCATCAGCGTACTGTAGAATATTAATTTTATTAATAAAAACAGATTCAAGGTCGTACGTATATACGTTATACAACAATGGGCTTAAAACAGACCCCTGGGGTAATCCCCTCCAAAGAACTCGGGTCAAAACTGTTGAATCTTGAGTAGCAACGTTAATAGATCTTTCTGATAACATACTAATAATGAAATTGATTAGGGTAATCGGTACTTGTAGCTTTACCAGTTTATTTTTAAGTATAGATAAATTAACACCGTCGTAAGCGGCTGTGATATCAAGAAAGGCAGCAAGGAGGCATTGGTTATTAGTAAAGGCTAAGCGAATATCTGTAGTAAAAATTCCTAAACTATCCATAGTACTCGTATGAAAAATCTAAACCGCTTAAGTTAGACGCTTGAAATTTGGCATGCAGGTACCTTAGTAAACTTAAAGTTACAACAGAATATTGCAAAATTCCCACGGGAACGGGAGTTGGCGGGAAAAAACATTTGTATGTAAAAATCTAAACCGCGTAAGATAGATGAAGGGGGTAAACCGGGATCCACGCGTACGAAGTCGCGGGCGGCCGCTAGTTAGATAAAAAAACTAAAAAGGAGTAAATAATTATGACTAAAAACAAAGTCATAATTTAGATCACTCCAAACCTGAAAAAAAATGCTTCGATAGTCAAGATCAAAGGTCTTTCTAGATCATAAGTTAATTAAATCCCTCATTTTACAATCACTGGGAAATTTCGGGAGACATACAGTGTTTTGGTAGACAAAATCTCAATGTTTCCCTGACTTTCCAGGTGACCCCTCTATTTCACTGACTTTCCCTGACTGCTATGAGCTTCCCTGACTTTTCCCTGACTTTCCCTGACTTTCCAGAATGTGGACACCCTGATTATCCTACTTCCTACTTATATTATAAAGGCGAAAGTTTGGATGTCTGGATGTCATGATGTCTGGATGTCTGGATGTTTGTTACTCTTTCACGCAAAAAGTACTGAACGGATTTTGTTAAAACTTTACAGTCTTATTTTTTTTAACCCAGATTAACATATAGGCTAACTTGTGACGAAATGTGACAAATAAATTTCAATAAATAAATAAGACGTGTCTAAAAAGCGCCATCTACCTATCGTCATTGGTTAAAATCTACAGCCCTGGACAAACTACTGTATGACGTTCATAAATTTCATTCGGGGGAAGCCGTGAAACGCCAATTCTATCAACATGATATCTAACGGAGGTATAAAACGAGGTCCACGCGAACGAAGTCGCGGGCGGCCGCTAGTCAAATATAAAGGAACTAGCGGCCGCCCGCGACTTCGTACGCGTGGATCCCGTTTTACCCCCTTCATCTATCTTACGCGGTTTAGATTTTTTCATACAAATGTTTTTTCCCGCGAACTCCCGTTGCCGTGGGAATTTTGCAATATCCTGTTGTAACTAAGCTTTAAGTTTACTAAGGTACCTGCATGCCAAATTTCAAGCGTCTATCTTACGTAGTTTAGATTTTTTCATACAAATGTTTTTTCCCGCTCACTCCCGTTCCCGTGGGAATTTTGCAATATCCTGTTGTAAATAAGGTTTAAGTTAACTAAGGTACCTGCATGCCAAATTTCAAGCGTCTAACTTAAGCGGTTTAGATTTTTCATACAAAAGGATTTTCCCGCTAATTCCCGTTCCAGTAGGAATTTCGAGAATTCCTTTCTTAGTGCACCTCTACGGTACCTAAGCTACGTCTCTTCCAAATTTCAAGTGCCTACGTTTAGCCGTTTAGGCTGTGCGTTGATCTGTCAGTCAGTCAGTCAGTTTCTCCTTTTATACAGTGTGTCCGGGTTTGTAGTGATCAAACTTTAAGGGCGTAATCTATGGACAATTTTATCGATGAAAATACTTCAAATTTNCGTTTCCCGCGCTTTACTTTGGCATTTATCTTTTTAAAAATTTGACACCAAGTGTCAATGATAGTGTTGTATAAAACCGATATTTATCTATAAATTGTACACGTAATGAGCTATGAGCTAGAATGACTAGAACGTTGCCATATCAACTAAACATTGTAGGTACTATACTTCGAAATAAAGATTCAAAAGGGCGGGCAATTGAATGCTTGTTGAAATAGAGTACTTTTTGGATATACCTAATTTATTATCGTGTCAAACTACATAGAGGAATTAACGCTAAATGATCGTCAAGAGAATAAAGCCAGTTTTCCACTAAAGTGATCAAGATGAAAGGATATGTCTAAATAACCAACTACTTCATTACTTCCACCGTTCCACGCCACCTCTTCGCTCGGCTTTGGTTGAAACTGGTTCTATGATTTCACGCTAAGAGAGCATTCAATGATGGACATTAGGTCATGGAAAATAATATAACACAGTTAAAGTCAAATTTGTATAATTTACAATAGTAAAACATATATACAGTTCATCTTATTTAAACTTGTGAACACCAAACAAACCTTCATTCAAATAACAGACAAAATTAAAAGAATCAAACATACTCCAGTCCTCTGGAGTTTGGATTAACAAATCTGTTTTGTACACTTTGTACAGAGAAGATAACGATCATTTTAGGTATATGCAAACCTTATTTAAATACCTAGGAACAATCCAACCCCTGCATTTATAAAAATATTGAAACGCAACCTAAAATTATGCAAGTGTTATTACACCTATTTTTGTGCTCCGTTGAACACCAGTGGCAAATCTTATTCTTATTTATATTGGCACTGAAATATTTAGGTAGCACCACAACGTTTTGGAATATAAACGTTATTTCAGAAGCAATAATCCAAATGTTGTCCCATTTTCATTTTAAGTGTGACTATGTATAATAGGTGTCCCAAAAACACTGGATAACCCTGAAGCCAACGATAGGCCTCTTCATGATTTTTTTTTGTATTTTTAGAAAATTATTTAAAATGTACTAAAAAGAAGATAATTTAATACATAACATCGCGGCATCGCAATCGCAGGTGGTAATTTTCTAAAAATACAAAAAACTTAAACATCTCGAAAACCATGATAGGTACTTTTACCTGGCCAAAATTAAATATTAGACAGGCTATGTGAGGCTTATCGATAGTTACAAGATTATCCATTGTTTTTGGGACACCCTGTATATTGAGCCCCAACTACAAAAATAACGTATTCAGTTGTAACCTTTCGGTAAATGAAAATAACTTTATTGGAAATAAAAGCATTCGTGTAGAAAAAAATACGAACAGTTCAATGCGCCATGTAGGTTACATTGTTTTAAGGGAATGTAAATAAGTCCAACAATAATTCTTTTAACATACGACGAGCAATATAGCTCAGTTAACAACAATTTCGCGCGCAACGAACATAACCACTGCCTTACACACCTATGCGATATAAAAACTTATCCTATCGACATGTTAATACGAGGTTCGTAACTATCTTTCGCCTTTCGAGCATGAGACCCTGTGGAATAGAGGCGTTTTCAATTTAGTGCTTGCAACAGTGACGTCACGACCGAAGGCAATACCTAGCTCTAGTGATGTGGTTACGAACATTATTGTAGTGGCTATCGTGAGTTGAAAACACTAAGTTGAGTCAGTCGATGCCTTATAAAGGTTGTTGTCAACTTCGTTGCCGGGTGGCTTCACGCTACAGTGACTGAGGCGAGTCACGCGTGCGCGTTGGCGGGAGCGTCGTGGTTCTGCTCGAGGTCGTCGAGAGTGTCACTTGAGGAGTGCGTGAAGTCACTCAGCTCATCCATATGCTTCTGCTTCTTGCGAACATTCCAGTGCAGGCACTCCGCCAGGGAATCGAACCAGTCCGAGATCTGGTCTTGTGCGCATATCGACGGCACCGGGTACACCGACGTAGTCACGTAGAGGCTGGAACGATTGGTACGTTAGAGCTAGTTCTATATCGCGCGCAGACGCACAGTAATAATACGTGACGGTCGTTTTACATGGCGATACGATAAACAGAATGTAGTTTGTGAGATAGTAAAAAGTTAATAAATCTTTATTTACATTTCGTAATTAAAAATCGTCAAACCACGCTCGTCACGTATTATAAACTCGATGTTTCAATGATCGTGTAATATGTATATTGAAACACATAAAAATACACGCAACATTTATATAGCTTTAGCATCTGCACGCGATCTTGGTTAAAACAATTTAAACTGGTTTACTTAATTAGTTACTATTATAAAGCAAAATAACTTATGTACAAAAGCGACAAACACGTGCAAAGCAATACATAACTATATTAGTACATACTACAACTAAATGACCACCTCAACCTACTCCCCAAGTGAAACGGGCATCGGATTATAGTCTTTGTGCCCTAGTAATGAAGTTTATGTTCGAATGATGTGTGGCGAGTTTAGTTGTTTACCTATCACCGGGCCTGAGTACCAACTGAGACCGGCCGTCGAAGGAAACACTGGCCGCCGAGCGGGCCTCTAGGCTAGGAGTTATCTGAAACAAGCTTTTCAGCTTAGCTACATAGTAGAACTAGGATTTCACCCTAATTACATCGATTCATAATCAACAACTATCGATACCACAACGATCATACACGCAACACTGGGTATCTATTTCACCACAACACTACTTTGTACCTACCAAACAGTTTAAATCTAACGTTTCACTGCCGGTTTCTAAACATTTTACAACGGCTTCCATCAACTACTAAAATCTAATAACATCATCGAAAAACCGGTATTAAAAATGATACAAACAACACTAGTCAGAGGTGGCATTAGTCTACACAGGGCAAAGGTTATATTGTAAGCGTGTTCAGAAGTGCTACGGCATGCGGATTGCGGAGGGCGACGGCGTTTTGTACCTATCTCCGTGTTGAAGCGCCTGGCGGCTGCGACCGTCGAACGACACCCACATGGCGTTCCGCGCCTCCGGGGACAGAGCGATCTAAAATTGTATGTGTATAAGTGTGTGTCATTATGTAAAAATTTTATAAAGTATTAGAGTCGGGTAAGAACATGTATGGAGTTTTATGCCTATCTCTAGGGCCAGTCTGTTAGCAACTATTAAAATGGGTATTGTGCGACTGGGATTGCTCCCTGAGCTATGGACGAATTCATTGTCATCATCAGTCATCTTCGTCGCCACTGTAAAACACGTGTGCTCCCACCATATTGATTCCTTGCAGCACAGAGAACAGTCAACAGAAACATTCTTCTTTTAGTTTTGGCGGACGTCAAAACCACAGAGCATAAAACACAATAGGGTTGTGATACCTTGAGCTCTACGTGGAGCAGATGGGCGTGACCATGACGGCCGGCACCGCCACTCTTCTTTTAGTTTTGGCGGGAAAGATGTCAAAAAAAAACCCTCTAAGGAGTTTGGTTGCCATTAAACGCCATTAAACAATAAAAAAGATACCATACCTTGAGCTCCACGCCAGCCAGTACGACGATGGGGCGGAAGGACAGCGAGTGGGATAGATGAGCGTGACCATGACGGCCGGCACCGCCACTCTTCTCTTTAGTTTTGGCGGGAAAGATGTCAAAACCACAGAGAATAAAACACTAAGGAGTTTGGTTCCATTAAAAAGATATCGTACCTTGAGCTCGACGCCAGCCGGTACGACGATGGGGCGGAAGGACAGCGAGTGGGGACAGATGAGCGTGACCATGACGGCCGGCACCGCCACTCTTTTTCTAGTTTTGGCGGGAAAGATGTCAAAACCACAGAGAATAAAACACTCTTAACACCCGTATTTACTATGAGGTCTCACAGTGCGCGTGGACGCACAGGGTGACACACGAACCAATCACAGAGCTCTATTCAACGCTGTGCGTTCGATTTGCTGCTTCACTTAAGCGAGCATCGTTTGTGAATACGGGTGTAAGGAGTTTGGTTCCATTAAAAAGATATCGTACCTTGAGCTCGACGCCAGCCAGTACGACGATGGGGCGGAAGGACAGCGAGTGGGGACAGATGAGCGTGACCATGATGGCTGGCACCGCCACTCTTCTTTTAGTTTTGGCGGGAAAGATGTCAAAACCACAGAGAATAAAACACTCTAAGGAGTTTGGTTCAATGAGGGCTATCGTTTTTATACTTAACAGTTGGCACCCCTGGCGATTGACAGGACCTTACTCTACAGTGGCGCCATCTTGATGAGTGCAATTGCGATAGTCCTCCTACCACTTTAGCGCTCACCAGTTGGTGCCACTGTCTTCGCTACTAGCAAGTGACAGGACCTTACTCTACAGTGGCGCTAACTGGTGAGCGCTAAAACGATAGCCCTCATTAAAAAGATACCATACCTTGAGCTCGACGCCGGCTGGTACGACGATGGGGCGGAAGGACAGCGAGTGTGGGCAGATTGGTGTGACCATGACGGCTGGCACTGAAGGGTGGATCATACTGGCGCCCGCTGCCACCGCGTACGCTGTGCTACCGGTAGGCGTCGACACGATCAGGCCTGCAACGAGCGATTTGGAACTTTAATAGGTTGCAATAAGGCTTGGGACGAACAATAATGGCAACTGAGTGAACAACAGCGGTCATCAATCACATGTGGGTATTGTAAAGTTCGCGAACGTTTGGTGCTAATATTCCAGGTGGGTTTCGGTAACCACCGAATGATTGTTGATGAGTTTGTTTACGGGACTATTCCCACCTCTCGTTCCCACCACTGCAACTCCTGTGTAGCCAGGATCTACAGCTTGACCGCCACAAAAACCCAACCAATGAAGGTCAAGGTTGTCCCGGGGGAAAGTTAAACTGTCATTGGACCCGCAACGAAATTAATCAGAAGAACATAGGAGTTCGAAATTAAGGTTCGACTTCCCTCCATTGCAAAGCGGATGACAGGTGTTGTTTTCTGAAAAATATGATTGGCGGGTAGTTGCTAATTGCTCATAAGGGGGCCTCCCTTAATTGATATTTATTGACCGTGGTGCATAATCTTTTCTTATAGGTTTTAAAACTTTGATTAGTTTGTTTATCAGAACGGCGATGTGTGCAACTTTCTCATTTAGCTATGTTCGGTTATTTAACTGTCACTAAACTTTACGAAGAATTGACGTTGACTGACGCTTGCTAGCAGAGTAAATACAAATGAGTAGGTCATCTTCATAGAAACGCACGGGCGCACCGCATACGTATTTTGGCTCGCTCATACACAAACCGCGCTCGGTGCATTTCTATGAAGATGACCTACTCATTTGTATTTACTCTGTTGCTAGTGACGTTAATAGAATACAGGGCTATTGACCTTTCAAGAGAAAGAAGGACCAATATCGCATGGACTTACCGTCTCCTTGCACAGAGGTAATGTGTTTCCCATCCAAGAATAAGTCTATATTGGAGAGGTAGGGCGAGGGCCCGCGGTCCACCACCACCTCGTTAAGTACTAGAATAGTGGTGGGCTTCTTCTTGTCGCTGCTGTGGTCATTACTCTTGCGGAGCACCACGCATTGCAGTCGCGATCGCAGCGTTAACGCCGCGTGACCTGGAAGGTAAATATGTAGGTTTTAATCAATAGCCTTAAATGGCCATAGCATTTCATTCGGCCATACATGCGTGTGATTTCATATAAAGCGTATTAATCACTAAGCCATTATTCTTCACTGCAGAAGGAACTATCTCTAATATTAGGATATTACGCTATCCTAGGGATAGCGTAAAATGCTCTTGAAAATTGCGTTTTAAATGTCCAAAGATCTAAAACATTTATCGCATAAGGGTGATCAACACTGCTTTCGATCCGATTCCAAGCAGACCGTTATTATACAATTTAATGCAGTGCGTAATCGCTTTATTCAAATGATTTAACTGTGTGTCGAAAAACCCACTTGGCTCATTTATATCACTTCGTCATCATTGGTAACAATGTCGAAGTAATTACCGCTGTACTTATAAGTAAGCCGGTGTGGTCACAACAATAAAAATATTTTTGCAATCATGCAAGCATATAGCTGTCTAAATAAATAACTAATAGACTGCAAACCGAAATAATTTAGTAGACAGTTCAATTTCAGTTCTAGATTTCATGTTATTTACCTACACGATTGCCAAAATCTATTTGCGTCATCATAAGCGTATATTTACCTTCTAGAACGTTCATAACTTGTTCCTGGAAGTTGTTGAACTCGAAGGGCGTGAGGAATCCTAGCGAGCCCAAATGGAATGCCATCACAGGAGGGACCGATTGCTGAAATGAAGAAAAAAATACATTATAATATTGAAAAACTAAGGGGATTCACATTTCCCCTGACATGCTTCTCTGAATTGAATAGGGGAAAATGAGAAAAATTGTTTCAGCTTCACACGTAAAATCCCATTTTCCGCATCAGGCGGAAATTGAATGCACGAAAAACAAGAGGACTTGTCGCAAAAAATATAATAAGTTCAATTGCACCATAACGTAAAGTAATTCGCATAATAATTATAAGTGAATCTGTGCCATCACACTTATTGCGAATATTTTATATCCTTACTAAAGTTTGCTTAATTTAAAACATTGGCCCATCATCTCATTAGTTTATGTAACAAAAACTACAGCTTTTAAGTATATTTAATTTCATCACTCAACTTTTTGCAGTCCTCAGTGATTAGCAGCTTGATGGAGTTAACGACCACTCATTTGGGAAAACTTTACCTACACCCAGGAGCCATTAAAAACCTATTATAACCCTTAATTTTTTGCTGTCACGCTCATAATGTTCAATTACCAAGGGTAAACAAAAGTCGACCTTTGTTTTGAACATTCTGTGTTTTTGGTCGTGAAAAATTTATCAAGCATCATGCAATAAATTAATTAAAAACAAAAACATGAGGTACATAAGTTGTGGAAATGGAATTACGATTCATTATAGTCNTACAGTCCACTATGAAAATTAGCTGTAGTCTGTTTCAACTACTTATTTTAATGTTTTTTGTCACTTTCTAAGTTTTGAATTTTATGGAATTGGGAAAGAAGTATCGAGTTTGAAGCGTTCATGAGCAGACATTGCAGTTGAATATTCAAGTTCTGAATTTGATTATTGATGAATAATAAAATAAATCCTACTAGCTCGATTGATGGTTTCATTTAATTTATTTAAACCAGGTTACCTTTAATAATATTTTTCGTTAATTTATGAAAATGTCAAATTAGCCCGTAATCCTGAATCCTGATACATAAATTTAGCCTATTAATTTAACACATGTAGGACTGTACTCAGTGTTGCACTATCAAATGCAATTGAAGCGCCTCTATGCCAGGGTTTTTATGTTCCTGGTCAGGCTATACTTGGAATTGCTCTAGGGCCAATGAGGAAGCTGTTGACATTTACATGTTTCTTTGTATTTTCACAGTAATTTCTTCCTAAAACGTTTTACCAGTATTTACACTTATTATTTAATTATACCTATGTCAAGAAATAACGATTTTACATTGAGTTTCATTGACTTTGAGCAAATTTATATTTTTTTTTTTTTTTTCTTCTTTCTGGCTCTCGCGGATTGCGTTTAGCCACGACAGGGTTCTTGATCTTGAGTTTTGCGTTTGCATATGTTTTGCGTTTGGTTTTGCGGACATTGCGTTTGGACAGGGTGGGATTAGGTTAAAAGGTAGGGAAACGAATTATTAAAAATTACGGAAGGAAGCGGAACAAAAGGATTATTTGATAGGATCATTGTTTATAGCGGATAAGCATAACAAAAGCAAGTATTTACNAAAAAACAAAATATATACAATATTTACAACTTAATATTATTATGAGTAATATATGCAGCTAGAATATTATAGATATTAACATCATTAGAATATAAGAGGCAAGTGATTGAGGTAGGGAAAGGAACATGGATGGATAAAAGTGAGCTAATAAAAGAGGAACGGTCATACAGGCAACAATTAAAAAATATGTGGTTCATATCTCCCACATCAGACCCACAGGAACACATATCACTGTCTACAACATGAATTCTGGCCAAGTGTGCTGGAGTGCACAAATGTCCAAGTCTCATTCTTGTCAAAGTAGTAGTAACTCTTTTTGGAAAATTCATTTTAGTAAACCATGGCTTAAAAGGAATAGATGGTTGAATAAGCTTATAATGCTTCCCCTTAGATTGACTAGTCACTTCCCAATTCTCCTCCCAGGCAGACCTGAGATAAGTTTTGGGAAGGGCTGCTGTTAAATCATGGCAATAATTAGTATAGGGATAAATATCTCCACATTCAATCGCTTCATTGGCTAGTTTATCGGCTTTATCGTTTCCTGTAATATTACTATGACTAGGAATCCACGCAAAATGAATTGAATAACCGTTTAAATGGCATTTATATAATAATTGTCTGCATTCCATGATAACGGGATAGCTGGTATTACTCTTAAACGGAAATTTTAATAATGCCTGCAAAGCACTTTTGGAATCGGAAAAAATAACGGTTTGGTTTAGTTTCATGAGAAGTACATACTCTAAGGATTTAAATATTCCGAAACATTCCCCTGTAAAAACAGACGACTCAGGAGGAAGTTTAACTTGTTGTAAAATTCGGTATTGTTGATGGAATACGCCAACACCAACGTGACCCGTTGGTGAGTGTTTAGATGCATCGCAGTAAAGGTGATGCCAATCATGCCAGTTTTCATCTAATATCTGTCTAAATTTGACATTAGCATTGTGGTCATCTTTGTTTAAGTCTAAATTAAGATGAACTATCGGAGTAAGAATTAGAGACTCAAAATTAACAGAAAAAAGCGGAAGGAAGCAAGATCTGTGTACTGGAGCTTGAATGGATACAAATTTGCGGTAACTTATAACTAGGCAAGATGGAGATTTGCGAGACCAATAAGGGGAAGTATCAACAAAACCAGATAATCTGTTAAGCTTACTGTATATTGGATGATTTAATTGTTGAAGGACGCGAAATAGATATTTGTCGCATAAATATTGGCGGCGCAATCTCAACGGTGGCTCAACACATTCCGCTTGAAGGGCATTGATCGGACTCGATTTCATAGCACCAGCCACAATCCGTAGTGCTTTATATTGGATTGCATCCAATTTATTTAAACCAACTAAATTACACGGTTCTAGGAAAAAACTACCATAGTCTAGTACACTTCTTAGGATTGCATTGTACAACAGTCTTAATGAGGCTGGATGGGCACCCCACCAGACTCCAGAAACGCATCTTAATATATTAAGTAACTTCTCGCATTTAGCAGCTATATTATAGCAGTGTGAAACACCAGTAAGTTTTGCATCAAGTGTTATACCCAAAAATTTTGCTTCATTTTTAACTGGGACAGCGCTGCCTTCATAATAAANCATTTAGCAACTATATTATAACAGTGTGGGACGGCAGTTAGTTTTGCGTCTAGCGTTACACCTAAAAATTTAGCGTCATTTTTAACTGGGATGTCTCTACCATCATAACGAACGGATATCGTTGGAGGCACTCTCATTCGAGTGAATAATATTACAGCGCTTTTAGGAACCGAAATACTGAGTCCATTTTCATCCAACCAGCTTTTGAGTACAAGTAAACTATTTGTCAGGGAATTAGTTAAGTTCTGAACGGAGGAACCTGAGACATACAAAAGTAGGTCATCAGCATACTGTAGTATATTGACTTGATTATTTAATGCTGAATCTAAATCATATGTATACAAGTTAAACAACAGGGGACTTAAGACGGATCCTTGTGGCAAACCTTTCCAAACAAACCTTTTGCAGAAGTGATCATCATGAAATACACTGATATACCGTTCTGAGAGGATATTAATGACAAAATTAACTAACATAGATGGAATTCTAAGACGATGAAGTTTATTAATAAGTAAATTAATTAGGACGTTGTCGTATGCAGCTTTAATATCTAAGAAGGCCGCTAAAAGCGACTCATTAGATGAGAATGCCAGACGAATGTCAGTAGTAAAAATTCCTATACTGTCCATAGTCCCTCTACCCTTTCTAAAACCATATTGATTGATACTTAACAACCCTGCGCTTTCAACATACCACTCTAAGCGGTTCTTAACAAGATGTTCAGCCAATTTAAAAATTACTAAAGAAAGTGCAATCGGTCTGTATGAATTAGCGTCAGATCTTAATTTACCAGGTTTTAAAATCGGAATTATTTCTTGCGATTTCCATGTGGCCGGGATATTACCGTTTAACATTATAGAATTTATCAGTGTTAAATAATAAGAAAGACTAAAATCACTAAGATGAGAGAAGAAGGAGTACGGAATTCCATCTTCGCCGGGGGATGAATCTTTGACATAAGACAAAATTCCTTTTAATTCGCAAAGGGTAAAAGGCTCATTTNGTGATCATCATGAAATACACTGATATACCGTTCTGAGAGGATATTAATGACAAAATTAACTAACATAGATGGAATTCTAAGACGATGAAGTTTATTAATAAGTATGTCGGCGCCGGACACAGATGCTGCAAATGATTATTGATGATTAATAGTACCAATCTTAATATTATGTTATCTGTATAAATCTGTAGAGCGGAAGGTTTGTGATTCCTAAACGTAACACCCGACTGATGCGCAGAAAAAGATAACTGTCGAAAAAGGCGGGAAACTTCGAAGTGGCAAGGCGCGCTTCCGAAAGTTTTAAATTAATATAACTAAATCTGTTAGATTATTGTTGTTAGGAAAGTTTATTAAGACGATGGGGAGGGGTAGCAAAAAAAGGAAAAAAGTGGAGGTCACCGATTTGGATCCGGGCANATTTGTCAAAGAATTAGTTATGTTCTGGACAGAGGCACCCGAGATATACAAAAGCAAGTCATCAGCATACTGTAGTATATTGACTTGATTATTGAGTGCTAAATCTAAATCATATGTGTACAAGTTGAACAACAAGGGACTTAAGACGGATCCTTGTGGCAATCCCTTCCAAACAAACCTTTTGTAGAAGCGGTCATCATGAAATACACTGATATATCGCTCTGAGAGTATATTAATAACAAAATTAACTAATATAGATGGAATTCTGAGTCGGTGAAGTTTATTAATAAGTAAATTAATTAGGACGTTGTCATATGCAGATTTGATATCTAGGAAGGCCGCTATAAGTGACTCATTAGAAGAAAATGCTAGGCGAATATCGGTAGTAAATATCCCAATACTGTCCATAGTTCCTCTACCCTTTCTAAAACCATATTGATTATTACATAATAACCCTGTGCTCTCTACAAACCATTCTAAGCGATTCTTAACAAGGTGCTCAGCCAATTTAAAAATTACTAATGAAAGCGCAATCGGTCTATATGAATTAGCGTCAGAGCTTAATTTACCAGGCTTTAAAATCGGAATTATTTCTTGTGATTTCCATGCATTTGGGACATTACCGTTAAGCATTATAGAATTTATCAATGTTAAATAATAGGAAAGACTAGAATCACTAAGGTGCGAGAAAAAGGAGTAAGGAATTCCATCCTCTCCTGGTGACGAATCTTTAACATAGGACAAAATTCCTTTTAATTCACAGAGAGTAAAGGGATCATTTAAAGATCCAGAATTACTATGGAGGGAATTGTTCATGGATGGGTTTGTAAATGCGGCACTTAATGGTACAGAAGGAGGGGCTAGTTTATCTAAAAATTGGTCTATTACAGTATCATCCATGTTATAAGGTTGAGGTTCTTTAAATATAGATCTGTATCTACGGACATTGGACCAAATTACTGATGGGGAAACATCCGGAGATATTGATGAACAGAAGGACTGCCAGCCTTCCCACTTTTTTTTCTTGAGCAATTTCCGGGTGGCACTCATTACTTCCATCAAATATTCAAAGTTCTCAACAGTAGATTCAGACCTATAGTACCTCTCTGCCTCTTTCCGATTTTTGACAGCTGTC